CTGCCCTTGCTATCTTGACGGAGGTGACGGAACGCGCAAGTGCTGGGAGAGCAAAATGGGCCTGGCTTCGTCGTGGGCTTTATTACCTGAGAGCCGGACAGCATTACCAAGCTGTGGCAGAGTAAGACCACCAATGATACGGGGGCTTAATTGTCGTTTGCAAATGCAGGTTAAATACATGATCTGATAGTATCTGTGTAGGTTTTTACAAAGGCAAATCTTGTTGTTTGCTGATGAATTGAATTAAGTGTTTTTCTATTTGTCATTTTGCTTATGTGAAACATCTGGGGTGTGGTCCTTTCTTCTTCAGATGGGTAGCCATGGTTGTTCCCGTATGTTGTCAAACTACTGCTCCCATTGGCATTAGCCGGTGTAGCTATTTGGAGATGTGGCCCTAAAACATCTGGAGTATTGCAGTCTCCCACACCCATGTTTGCTTGTAGAATAGCCTGGGCTCTGTGATAGCTCTAATCTGGGGCACACAAGCTTCCAGAGGTGTGGGAGCTACACACGCCTCTCAGACCTCATAAGGCTGTCCCTCATGGTGCATGTGCGCGTGCACACACTCATGCACACACACACATAGACACTCAGTCACTTCCATTTCTTAAAAAAAAACATGCTCCTGGTCTAAAACATAGCAATTGGCAAAAATGTGGCAGAATTAATGATATGCCCCCAGATAGAAGCGGCCTTTTTAAAGTGATGAAGTAAAGATGAAGTAGGGTACAGGAACTGCTTAGAACTCTGTCAGCCCAGACTGCACAGATGTCAGGGCTGTCTCTCCACACTAAGCATTGGTTGCTCAACCTTACAGAGGACTTACTGACAAGTCCCATTAAAAGGAATGCACAGTTTGTCCCCCTTCCTTTTATCCTTCGGCCAGGAGCTAAAGACCCACCTGTGTTTTCAGGCAGACTTTTAACAGTCATGATTGACTCCCTCAATGCCTTCTAAGAGTCAGGTAGTTGTTAAAGGTTACTTGCTTTTATTTTTTCAATTGTCCTTTAATTAGCATATAAAGAACCTTTAGCCATTCCCTTTTTGTATGTTTGTTTAAAATAGTTTACAATCAATAATCCCAATATTAATCTGATTTGTTTGGTTTCACCATTACAAAAGTCAAACTGTTGCTTTTTCCTTCGCCACAAGTTCTCTCTCTGCTGTTCTTCAAAATAAACTTAGCATGGACTGTTTTTATGGACATTTTTATTGGAGGCTGCGATTGCTTTTCAGAGAAAGCAATCTGATATGTTTTATAGAGAAAGCTTTTAAAAGAAACCAACCATGAATTTTAATTCTGTTTTAATTCACAAAATTGCCTGTGCTTTCTCCATGTGCCCAGTTTGCAGGCGGCTCTGCGAGCCGATCCAAAGGACCCTCACTGTTGGGAGTCCCTCGGAGAGGCGTATCTAAGTAGAGGGGGACACACGACAGCGCTGAAGTCTTTCCGAAAGGCCAGAGAACTGAACCCCAAGTCTATATACAGTATTTATAAAGCAGCAGCAATTGAACAGATGCTAGGGAAATATAAAGAGGCTATTGCAGAATATCAGCACATCTTAAAGACAACAAAAGATTACGTTCCTGCTCTGAAAGGTATTCAGGCGTTTTTGTTAGGGCCAGCAACTTTACTGCTCTGATTACTTCAGGGTAATTCTGTGCTTGATATGTAGTAAAACAGTGAGTTAAAAACTTTTCCCAATACAACTATATGTTCCTGCATATGCTGGGGATTCATACATAGGTAGCAAAAGTATTGTCTTCCGTCAACAACATGACAAACATGTAGCCCTAGAGGAAAGTCTGGTTGCTTTTCTGTTTTGTTTGTTTGTTTGGGGTTTTTTTTTGGCTTCTCCTGCATCTTGAGTGGAAAGGAAATTTATGAAGATATTCCCAAATAATGGACATTATATGGCAATAATACACATTCCCAGATGATGTTTAGATCTATGTGGACATTATATAGAAATAATATGCATCTGTAGATACTTAGATCTATTAATATTCCTTTCATTCATAGGTTTTCAGCTCAGCTTATTGTTGCGTTTTTTATAATATACATTAAGGATATTAAACTTTATATTAAAATATCCATATAGCAAAAGAATGATTTCTCACCATTTGCTGCTGCGTGAGGCCTATGGGCTTAACTTATGTTGTAGCTGCCTTATCACATGTTAACACATTGGTTTCTGTTCAGGTCTGGGAGAATGTTATCTTATGATGGCAAAAACTGCTCTTGTTGACTACCTGGATGGGAAGGCTCTGGACTACATAGAACAATCCCTTGGTTTTTTAGCACGGTTAGTAATTATATATGCTCTCCATTAAGATCCTTTAAGGATGGGTCACTTTGATCCCTCAAAGTCACACTTGGTTGCTAATTCTACATAGGACAGCACCTAAAATACGTACAAGTATTCTATGGCATTGCCAGTTGTACTGTTGTATACAATGCCCAGGGTCATATTCAAAAGCAAAGCAAAAAGTGTGCTGCTTATATACCGCCCCATAGCACTTCAAGCACTTTCTGGGCGGCTTACAAGTTAATTACGCAGGCTACACATTGCTCCCCCCCAAGCGAGCTGGGTGCTCATTTTACCGACCTCGGAAGGATAGAAGGCTGAGTCTACCTTGAGCCGGCTACCTGAGATTGAACCCCGGGTCGTCATCACAGTGTTAGCTGTAGTACAACAGTTTAACCACTGCATCACAAGGCTCTTCAGTCAAATATTCAGTCAAATAGCTTGTACAGAAGTTGTGGTACAGCCATCTTGACTTTTTATGGAGTTTGCACAAGGAAGTATGCATGTTTCCTTGCACAAGTATAAGTTGGGTATGTGTAATGGGGATCTTTGGTTGTATAAAATCAGTGCTTGCACAAGTGGAAGATCTGGCTTTCCTCTGCTGGTGGAGCTTTACACTCTAATGATGTGGAACAGAATTCCAGGTAATCTCACCAGGTTTCAGCCTTTTAGCATGTATTGTGGATTCTTTTAATAAACCAAGACCAGTTGGGAAAAACATTCTAATCATCTTTACATTTTGGCCTAGTCAGTGCAGTCTACTGGAACAGAGAATGTTCCACACTGGATTTTGTGTGTGTGAATCATACAATAATTGAAAGGGGGCTATATGGCCATCGAGTCCAGCACATGATTATCATGTTTTCGGTGAGCCCTCCTGCCAACTTTCAACATGTCAGAATTCTCACTGGAGCCATGAATCACCCCCAGCTCCCTAAATACAATGGGTTTTGAATTCAAATGTGTGAGTGTTAAAGAAATTGCCTTAATTCGATAAATAAAAGTAAACTTTAAACAAGTGACATAATAGCAACAAACCTTTCTGCAAGTACTGTCAGGACCATGGGTGCAAGCCCTCTTCCCTTTGTTTCAGTGTTGAGGAACAAAGTCACCATGCACATCTTCCTTGTCCAGGGACAAGCCCCCAACTTTGAGTAGGCGATGGCAAGTGATTTGCCCAGTGGAGAATTTGTAGTGTTTGGGGATGAAGAAGATGAGCTATAACCGAGGAAGACCCAAATGCACTAAGTTTCATTGAAATCAGTATTTTTTTCTGCCAGGTATTTAGAATTCACTGTTGACATTATTAAAGACTATAAAAGAAATGAAATATTACCACTTTTCATTTGTGAGCTGATAGCTTAGATGTGCTTATGCATGTAAAGAAATGCTTTTTAAAATATCATTTGGGAATATTTACTTTTATATTTCTTCTGAAAGGGTTTGATTCAGAGCAGTGTACAGTGGAGTTCGTTCAATCAAGAAGACAAGGGCAGTGTCTTTGTGATTTCTCTGTACATTTGAAAAAGCAGGGCTGGATGGCAGGGGATATTTCAGTACAGTTTGAGGGGTGACAGAGGAGGATTTGTTGAAGATCTGCTCCTGGCCACTTCTTCTGAAGTGAAGGCATCCCACCATTCATGGAATGGCCAATCTAGACCCACCCCTACCTTCCATAGGTGAGCTTCACTCTCTGTTAAGTTCTTTTCTTTATTTCAGAGCAGCAAAGCATCGTCCCGAAGTGTCTTGCCTTTGGAAGTTGCTTGGAGATGCTTGTACCTGTGTTTGTTTTATTTCACCATCCAAAGTGAATGTGAAAGTTCCTGGGTTCCTTATTGGTCAGAATGTGGACAAATGTATACTAAAGAAAAGTGAACTGCTGAGCCTTGGAGGAAGGTAATGGCCAAGGAATAAGCTATGTAATGTTCCAGAGCAATTCAAGTCTTGGCTGGTAGCCCTCACTTGAATTGCTTTGCTGGCATGAAAGGAGAGCTATCAGTGTGAAAGCTGAGAGGGAGTGGAAGGTAACAGATGGTATCTGGACAACTTCTAGCTTTTTGCAGGGAATAAATTCTTGAAATGTTGCTTCCTTCTCCCGTAGGACATCCGTAGAGGTAGAATATTACATTCCTCTGCTTTGAGGAAGATTCAGGAATCAATCTGGCCTTGCAGATGATAGTAACAGCTACTACACCTTTTCTCTGGAAATCCCAGCTTGTGATTGCAGGATTGGATAAAATGAACAGTTGTAAGAGTCCTTAGAGATGGAGAGGGGGGTAGAACCAGTTGGAAGAGGACGCTGGGGCTGCTATTTGCCCACTCATTCAAATGCAGCCCACAAACACATCTTACAGTTCAGAACTGAAGCCTTTCCAATTTTCCCTGTACAAGGGCTACATGGGATTAATTACTGAACTGCGCTAACAGTAATGGCTCTTAAAAGTGAAGGCCATGGAACATTCTGTTTCTCTCTCAACTGGTTTTTTTTTTACTTGCCTTCAAATATCAGTTTTATAAATCAGGCAGCCTTTGGAAGGATCCTTCAGTTAATGTGTTTATTTTATTTTCCAACCATAGAAACGATTCTTTTCATATGATGATTCATATTTCTGTAGGTGTTATGGCAGAGGATTAAAACTGATGTCCTCACCAAATACGTGGTGTGATCTTGGCATAAATTACTATAATCAAGCCCAGCACCTGACAGCAATGGGCAGTAGTGAGAATGAGAGCAGTGAACTGTTAGAGAAATCTGTACAGGTATATATATTTTAAAATCCTCATTGTTTTAATGCAATTTATAATAATAAATCTTTTGCTTCTAGCATTTTGAAGCTGTGGCTGTTATAAAAGACTTTCTAGCAATCTTTTCTTGACAATATGGGTCACTTTGTAATCAGTGGCAGTGTTCTTATATGGTGCAATTAAAAATGGGCCCAAGCTTTACTCTAACATGAGTTAAACAGCATTTTTTGTACATTAACATTGTGTTGCATATATGCATTTTAGAGGTTCTACAATGTTTCTGTATAATTTTTACCTGCTTGTTTGTTTGGTTTGTGGGCTGTAGTAAATTCAAATTTTTATTGGCTGATATCCTGTTGCATAGTGTAATCAGTGAAATGTAAAGTAGACCCATTTAATCATTGGAACTTCGAGAAGAATTGACTCATCAGATCCCCAGTGATTCAATGGGCCTACTGTATTGGGACTTACTGTGCTAACTGACAGGATTTCAGCCACTGCAGTGGTTTTCCTTTAGCCTTTTGTTTCTGTCTAAAAGAAAACCATTACAGTGACTGAAATTCTGTCACTTCTGAAGGAAATCAACCCTGAGTGCTCACTGGAAGGACAGATCCTGAAGCTGAGGCTCCAATACTTTGGCCATCTCGTGAGAAGAGTCCCTGGAAAAGACCCTGATGTTGGGAAAGTGTGATGGCAAGAGGAGAAGGGGACATAGAGAACAAGATGATTGGACATGAATTTGACCAAACCCCGGGAGGCAGCGGAAAACACGAGGGCCTGGTGTGCTCTGGTCCATGGGGTCACAAGGAGTTGGACACGACTTAACAACTAAACAGCAGTGGTTTTCTAGAATAACACACAAATGAGTTATGCTATGTCAAATTATAGTGCTGCATTCTCTCAATTTCTTCCAGTGTCTTAAAAAAGCTGTGAGACTGGATAGCAAAAACCATCTTTATTGGAATGCCCTTGGTGTGGTGGCCTGTTGCAAAGGTATATTTTGAAGGAAACTTTTAAAGTGTTGTCCGTCTGTTTCAGAGTTTTACTGGCTATTGCAGACATTGTTATAACCAGATCTGTCTCTTTCAGGTGTTGGAAACTATGCGCTTGCTCAGCATGCATTCATTAGATCTATTCAGGCTGACCAAATTGTAAGTACCCTAGATAGCTGCAAATGTTTTGAAGATGATGTCAGGAATATTTAATTTAATCATTTCATTTATTTTTGTCTAGAACATCATTGCCTGGACCAATTTGGGAGTCTTATATTTAACAACTGGAAATATAGAGGTAAATAAGTATCTGTGTATATGTATTTATACTACAGTGGTGCCTCGCACAACGATTGCTTCATACAACGATGAATTCACACAGCGATGGGTTTTTTTGAGGAATTTCCCCCATCGTTTAACGATGTTTATGGGGGAATTTCACTTAACGATGTCTCTTTTTGCTCATTTAAAAGTGTCTTAAAATGTTTGAAACCTGTTTTAAATGCTTGGATTCCATAGTGCACCTTGTGAAACATGTGCAAACAACGTTGATTTTTTTGGAACCAATTAACATCGTTGTGTGAGGCACCAGTGTACTTTATTCTGGTTTAAATGTAAGAAGATAAATAAATTAAAAAGAAATTTTACAAGATGTCACCTTCCCATTTTGAGTGAGCTATTAGGCCATTTAAATGCCAAATAAATAGTATTTGAATGCCATTTGAGATACAGTGGTGCCCTGCTTGACGCTTACCCCGCATGACGTTGAAATCACTTTACAGTGAGTTTTTTTGCAATCGCTATTACAATCGCAAAATGATGGTTCCAGTGGGGTTTTTTCGCTTGACGTCGATTAGGAGCCTGCTTCGTGAACCGGTTGTTCGCTAAACGACGGTTTTTCCAGCTCCTACCAAATGGCTTCCCTTTGTAATATGGCTTCCCTCCCTTCGCAAAATGGCTGTTTTCCGGACCCCTGCTTTGGAAGACAGCAATTTTAAACAGCTGATCGGTGGTTCTCTATGGGCAATCTTCGCTGGACGATGAGGTATTTCCCCATTGGAACGCATTGACTGGTTTTCAGTGCATTCCAATGGTTTTTTTCCCCCACTTGATGACGATTTCGCTTAACAGCGATTTTCCTAGAACGGATTATCATCGTTAAGCGGGACACCACTGTATATTTATTGGAGATGAAGAACAGGGATATGTAGTGTGGAAAGTTTTGTATTTCTATTATTTCATTTTTCTCTGCAGCTTCCTCTTTTGTTTTCTTTTCTTATCTTTTTTTTCCCCACATGTCAGTCCTTTCACTTAGTATGCAAGAGAAAGCTCTTTTTTTTGTTCCAAGTTTTCCTGTTTTTGTTTCCTGGTAGTGGTCCAAATTGAACTCTAAAGAATCCTTTAAAACTGCTCTAAAAATCTGAGTTGCAAGGCAGAAGATAATCAGTCTATTCCAAAAGCAAGCAATGGTAGATGAGAAAGAAAAGTTGTCATCAGACTTTCACAAAAAATATCTCACTCACCCACCAAATTCAGAAAGCAGTAAAGCACCCAAAAATTAGAAAAGAGGAAACAGTAATATGAGTTCAGTACCACCTACCCAGCACAACAGAGAATTAATATTAAATTATGCTTAAGTTTCTTTTGTTAATTACTGTTTCTTATACAGAGAATAGAATAGATTTTTAAAAAAACATGGTATTTGTTTCTGCCCCCTATTTGAGGTCTTTTACGTTCTGTTAGGTTTTTTCTTTTTCTTTTTGAAAGATTTCATTTTTTTACTTCTTTGGTAGAGTTCACAGGATTCAGACCCCAGTGCCCAAAACGTTCTTAGTCTGTCCGAAGAAGAGAGGAAGTTTTACTTGTGGCCTAAATAGCTGCACAAAATATAATCCTAGGTGTCATTCCCCAGTTTAATGGTTCTGTGTTTGTTTTGTGTTTATATATTCACATAGCAAGCACATGAAGCCTTCAAAGTAGCCCAGTCCCTGGAACCCTCTCATCTAACATGTTGGATCGGGCAGGTAAGATCTCAACTTAGGCCCTTCTAATCCTCTGTTTGTGTAAACAGTCCTAAGGGTGTTCAGATTTGGGCAGCAGAACATTGAATGGTATTTAGTTCCAGCTGAAACTGAAATTGATAGATATCCTTTGAATTGCTTACAGCATTTGCACCCACATTTACCATGTAGTGGTTGTCTGAAAAAAACAGTCTTTTTCATTCAGCAGTTTCCAGATTTTTTCCCCTTCTACTTTTCTTAAATGCTGAAATCTTTGAAAGTAGCTGAATTTAATGGTATCTCCATCCTAGGATGTCTCCAATTATTGTTCAGACAAAAAACTAGTACTATCACTTTGTTAACTGTGGTACAAGAACAAGAGATTTGTGCCACTGTAGCTAGGACAGTGTTTTACATCCAGGCAACCAGAGCAGAAAAAGTGTCCTCAGCAACCTTTAAAACAAGAATGGCTTCTTGTTTTAAAGTATGCCTTTTGCAGGATGATACTACGATTTAGCTGCCAGTTTTGCCAGTTCTATGTCTCCATCAGTTTCAAGTTCTCAACTCCATGAGATTTCTTTCTCATAAACTGGAGTAGCTTAGTCTGCAAGATGGAGGTTTGTATTTCTGTGGACAACTTTTTTACTAGGTTGAAATTATTCTTTGTCATTCCTTGGATTTAGCAGCTGATGATGTCCACATTTGATGTGGAAGGAAATAGATAGTGCCTGTTGTGTCAAGTTAGGGATTTTTGTCCCGTCTTCCTTTGGCAGGCTCTCATTGCTGAAGCAGTTGGAAGCTATGAAACCATGGACCTCTTCAGGCACACCACTGAACTCAGCATGCATGTAAGTGCTTGTTTCCATTGTAGGTTATAAATCAGTAAAAGGGAAGCTAAGGGAAGCCCAGAGGCAACTGATAGATCCATTACATTTCTTCTGTTTCTGTTGCACTTCCACTGGATTTACAGTATGGAGCTTCTGAAATGTGAAGACTCCCTTTATTCCAGGCAAACTGTTGTGCATTCAGTATTTCTGGGGATTTCTCTGAGTATATCAAGGTGCTAGTGCCTGGGTTGGAATAATAATAAGAGCAGAAAAAGAGAGCTGTTCATTCAGGTATACTTTCCAGGTTCATATGTTTAAGAAACTGTAAAACATTTGTCTGTCTAGCCGAGTGGTTGTTAACGCCAGTTGTGTTTTTACTGCATTCAGACTGAAGGAGCAAAAGGCTATGCCCATTGGGTGTGCTCAACCCTGCAAGATAAAACCAATAGAAACACTGATTTGTATAGATACAATATTCTTCAGATGAATGCTGTTCCCGCCGCACAAGTTGCTCTGACTAAATATACAGGTAACGTTACTTTGCATCTAAATAGTACACCTACATCATAGTTCCGGGTCGTTGTTTTTATATATTTAAACCTCATTTAAGCCAGTTAGCCAATTACTTTGCATTTAAATAGTACACCTACATCATAGTTCCTGGTCGTTGTTTTTATATACAGTATTTAAACCTCATTTAAGCCAGTTAGCCACTCAAAATGAGACAAAGTTACCGAATTATGAATTCCATAAAGTATGGTGCTTAAGTTCCATTAGAGGTGTGGATAGTATGAAAGAAACAGAAAAACCTCTAAAAGGAGAATTCAAGGCAAGTGGTAAAATATAGTCATTGAGGAGGTTCAGAATAGAAAAAAGGAAATACTACTTCAGACAACATATAATTAACTCATGCAATCCAGTGCCTAAGGTTGTATGACTTTTTGGAAGATAAACTGATCCTATATAAGTGTTATAGAAAGCATCTCTTCTCTCAGCAGGTAGGTTGGTGGGGAGGCAGTCAGGGGTAAAGCTGTTGCAGACATGCTGTTCTTGAAAATCTCTCAAGACATCAGTTGGCCAAAGCTGGAAACATTATTGTATGTGAGATGAATCCTTGACCTTCCAGTAGGACTGTTTTTTGGCTTAAAACAGCAATGACCATTTTTTTCACTAAATGTGTGGGAAGGCCAATCCTGCATGAGCACCTGCTTTGAGCGTAGAAGGTCCTTCATTCAGATCCCTGACATCTCCAGATAAGGCTGGTGAAAATATTTGCATTAAACTCTGGAAAGCCGCTGACAGGGTCTGCAATACTGGGCTGGATGGACTATCTTGATGTAAAGCAGCTTCCTGTGTTCCTTAAAATATGAGATAACACCAACCATTGGTAAGAGGGTGAGGTAAACAGGAAAGTTCAAAAGGCTCCTCTTTAATATGCTCATGATCAAATAGCTCCAAAACAGGACATTGGAAGAGTATTAATTCTTGTACCTCATAACCAGAGATATAGGTTCCCCTGAGAAATAACCAGTTAATATGAATACAGATGGGTGTGAACTGCCAGTTTGGCAGTTCGTGCTGGTTTGGACAATGGCCCAACAGTTGTTCTGTGGTTCAGCCTCTCTGGCAGGGACCCACTCAGAGACAGTGTGTTGGCTTCCCTGCCCCGATTCTTTTGGGTGCTGCCTCTTGAGTGGGCGCCCGCCAGACGAGGGTGGGGCACCAAAATGTGGAACACTTGTTGGGTCATTGTCCGAACTGGCAAGCCACTGAACCAGTGGTTTGTGCACATCTCTAATTATGAAAATTAGTTTCCAGCACTAGAGGCATGTCTTTAGTACCTAAAATTCAGCTTCTTTAATTTCCTCAATTTTCCCCTTTTAATTTTGTGTATGTGTCATTTGATCTTGCAGAAAGAATCCAAAATGATGCATGTGCCTTCACAATGCTTGGCTATTTGAATGAATATCTTCAGCTGAAAAAGCAAGCAGCAGATGCATACCAGAGGTAAACTGTGTTGAACAATGTATTTTTTTTTCCCAAAAATGCCAAACACCCTCAGTGCACAATTTGACCTGGCATAGTATCACCTCTGCTAGCAAGCCAGGGTATCTTAAATATTTTTTGTTGGTCAGACCTGATGGAAAAGCATAAGCAGTACATGCTGCTGAATTTCATGAGTCATTAAGCTGTAATAAGTAGCACAAAATAATAAAGAGCAACCCGTAATTGGTGGCAGTTACAGAAAGAACGGGTTTAGGCATTAGAACGTGCAACCGAAGAAAGCTGGAGTAGGAAGGCAATATGAACCATGCTCTGTTGCTTCTATTTGGGGAAAATAACTTGCCTAAGCTAGACATTTTTTATTTCTGTCAGATAGCTCTTGTTTTGTTTAGTACTTGTCTTGAAAGCTCAAGGAAGATATTATGCTAAATAAGCAGAAAGAGCATAAAATAACTTCCCAGGTAATATTTTAATTCTACTCATGTGCACCAAATGTCAGGCCCAAACATGGAAATTTTATTATCTTCAGTAAAGGCCAAGTTTTTGATGAAATTTCAAAATAGAGGTTTTTTCCACTGAAAACACACAAAAAAGCAGTTAAATGGTCCTTTTCTCCTTCAACCTGAGAGTTGGCTTTAATCATTATTTTAAAGGTCAGGTTCTGTATCTTAAATCTTGGATGAAAGAGTGTCATTGAGGTAGCAGTATAAAGATTAGATTTCACACTTCTTACAGACTCATTACTAACTGTAAAGTCCCTAGAAAATCATTTTCCATCGTTTTCAGGGCAGTTTTGTTGCTGAAGAATTCTGAAGATAAAGAAAAATACAATGTAGCAATGAGAAATTATGGCAGATCACTGTGGTAAGTGCCTATTTTAAGATAAATATAATACCAATATCCTGTAAGATCAAGATTTGTAATTCTGCAAAATGTTCATAATGGATTGGTCTCTCACTGTAATGGAAAATTGAATTGCTGTATCATTTTTTACAATATGATAAAATTTTAGTACCTGTTACATTGAGCTGGTACTGCACAGTGGTTAGAAAGTCATAAAGGTTCAAAATTATAAAGTTAACTAGGAGATTTTGGACAAGTCACTATGTATCCTCATTTTGCAGTGTAAATGGAAGAAAAAAAAACAGGTATGCTTCTTGGAGGTGCTTGGTGGAAACGAAGAATATGTATGTAGTGAATAAATAAATATATCTTGGGATGGATCCAGAAATGTTTTGCACTTTCAGAAAAGCACTTTTGGTTACACAAGGCATCTCCCAAATTCCTCCAGTTTCTGTTGCAGCGTCTTCCCCGTGACCCATCCCAAACCAATCCAGAGGAAGCTCTGCCCCTCAGAAACCTGTGAGGGCACTCGGGGGGGGGGGAGAGGAGACAGGAAACGCACATTGCACAAGCGAAGTCTATCTCTATTTTGTTTGGATCCAACCTGTTATAAATACTACAGTATGAAAAAAACAACTGTTATTTAAATTATTACATTTTGCTGCAGTTTTCAAAATTGTGCAGTGGAGTGTCAAAATCTAAACCTCAAACGATTAGACTTGTGTTAGGCAATGTTCTATTGAAACAATTCTGCTGTATTAATTCTTTAATTGATTGCAAACATTTATTGCCAAAATACAGATTGCTGTTTTAGGTATGTCTAAGGGCTTAGGAATGTACAATCCAGGTTTTGAATTTTAACTATGCTGTGATGCAGGCTTCTTTTAGCTTACCCTTTCCCTTTCAAAAGCAGTCCACTTCTGTGGCACTTCAGGAGAGAGAATATTTGAGGAAAAGCAATAGTAGAGCGCCTTCTGAGAGTTGAACAAATGACACTCTTCTATGATTGTATCTTCAATATTCAAGTTGTGGAATGGGGGTTCTTGATGGTACTGTATAAGTCAAACAGTTAAAAAGATCATGAGTGGAAAACATTCTCTGAGTTGACCATGTTCGTGTTTCATCTCATACACAACTTTAATGTTCAAGCATGCAAGTTCTAACATGCTCATAAACTTTGCTCTCAGATCTCCTTATGTTCATACAGTTCCATCTGAAACTATATATACATTTTATTTTATTCTGCAATTTCTGATGAAGAATTGCAGATGAGCTAAATTACAGTCAGGTATGGACGTTTTCATAGTGGTAAAAAGGGTGGGCATAGATTTACTACTTAACAGTTTTATGGAGGTGGGTGTAAATCAGTTATTTCACAGGTATGTTATACAGGTTAGACCTGAAAATTATATGAATTGCTTTACATTTGGTTGTTGTGGGTTTTTGGGGCTCTTTGGCTGTGTTCTGAAGGTTGTTCTTCCTAACATTTCGCCAGTCTCTCTGGCCAGCATCTTCAGAGGACAGGAGTAGCACTCTGTGCTCTGGTGCAATTTGTTTGGAGTTGAGTATTTATAGCTGTGGGATTAGCTTTTGTCCTTTTCAGGAGATGGGTGATTATGGTGATCTGTGTGTTTTTGTTGTGGGTGTAGTGTTGTGATAAGGAGGAGAGATTATTTGTCACTGTGATTGATGGGTGTCGTTAGCTGATCTTTTGTGTGTAATGATCACCGGTCCTTGTGGCTGGGTAGAGTTCGTTGACCTTTTGCACGCTGTATTTTTGAGAGCTGAGAGCCAAGTTTTGTTGAGCTTCACACTTTCCTCTTTTTTGTTGAAGCTCTGCTGGTGTTTGTGGATTTCAATGGCTTCCCTGTGCAGTCTAACGTAATGATTGCTGGTGTTGTCCAGTATTTCAATATTTTGAAATAGAATTTCATGTCCAGCTTGTTTTAGGGCATGTTTAGCTACTGCTGATTTTTCCGTTTGCTTTAGTCTGCAGTGTCTCTCATGTTCTTTGATTCTGGTGTGAATGCTGCGTTTTATGGTTCCAGTATATACCTGTCCACAACTGCAAGGTATCTGGTATACTCCTGCAGTGATGATGGGGTCCCTTCTCTCCTTTGCTGATTGTAACATTTGTTGTTTTTTTGTGGTGGGCTTGAATACTGTGTGTAGGTTGTGTTTTTTCAAAAGTTTCCCCATGCGGTCCATGACCCCTTTGATGTATGGCAGAAATACTTTATTTGTGGGTGGCTGTTTTTCTTCTTCAGTTTGGTGTTGTTTTCTTGGTTTGATGGCTCTTGTGATTTCATTTTTGGAGTAGCCATTTGCCTGTAGGGCCCAATTCAGATGGTTGAGTTCAGTGCTGAGAATCTGAGCTTCACAGTTCCAATTTGCATGGTCTATCAGTGTTTTGATTATGTCTCTTTTTTGCTGTGGGTGGTGGTGAGAATTTTTGTGTAGGTACCAGTCTGTGTGGGTGGGTTTT